TCTCCTTTATTGGTAGGTCAAATTTGTGATTATCTTAGATTTGCTTATTTTGTTCTCTAGATAGTTCCATGAACTGAGCACCTTGCAGGACTTACTTTAAGCATCACCGGTTTTTCTTCTTCTTTATCAATCGGGATGTTTGTGCTGTGAACCCAGGTATTTGTACATAGATGTCTAAGCCTGACATAAGAGTTCCTGAAAGAACCAGATACATTTACATTAAAAGACATTCCAGATGCACAAATCTGTAGTAATTTCTCAAGATGTTCATGAAAAACAAAATAAATAAAATGAACTTTTCAAAACAATTGTTTTTTTTAATGGCATGGTAGTGAATGAAGCTGAATTGTTTTGCATTAAAATGCTTCTTTGAAGAGTAAATAAAAAAATATTTTTTTAAGCTGGGATATCTGCCCCAGATAATATTGCTGGCATTTGTCTAAATCTGAAATCACTGATTTAAATTTGCTTCTCGAACATCTTGCTTCTGCTTTTTAAACATTACTCCACTTTTTAAGAGCCCATTCAAATGCCCAGTTCATACCATGGAATTAATGGATTATGGAAAATGTTTCATTTCTACCTGCTCTGAACACCAAATTTCATAAAAGGTTGTTTTAAGTACAAAACTTCAAGCATGAAATGAAGTACTTGGAAAGAGCTGTTTCAAACATTAGCAGTTAGAAACTGTTCAGAATATTCCATCTCATGCCAGTGAAATTTTGCACTTGAAACACTTTGAAATGAAACCAGTTTAGGATCCCTAGTTTTAAAAAAAATGTGCAGATCTCTTGCCAGGTGTCACTTGTTTATTTACTAAGAATCAGACTAGATTCAGAACTCTTAATGTACTTTTGTGACCAAAATCTACATATATTTCTGGTAGGGAAACAATTCCTTAGGAATAACTGGCAACAGAAGAAATTTACAATGAATTAGTTTGGCCCAACTGCAATTCCTTTCCTACNTTTTTTCTTACAAGGCTAACAAAGGTATCAATCTCAGCAGCTGTGATGTGTTTCTCCAACAGTTTGCGATTGTTGTGGAGCAAGGCTGTTATAGTGTCTTCTGCTAAAACATCATAGCCAATTTGTTTCTGCATGAAGCCAAACTGCTTGGCTATATATTCCTGGCAAAGTATTAAAAAAGTGGGAGAGAAAAAGAAAAAAAAAGGTAATTCCACTATAATATTTATTTTTATAGATTTAAGGGAGTTATTGGTTGTTCTTAATAAAAAACCAGGCATATTTCTAAGACTGAACCAGGTGTTCAGTCCTGATTTTTGGCCCAGTTGTTATTCAAATTAAATCATAGTTTATTCACTTTGCATTAAGCAATTGACAATTATTTTCCACTTGAACAGAAGGCCCAAATATCAGACGGATGGAAATGTGCAAGTTGAAGATCCACTCAGAATGATGGAATTATTCCACATTTATCCAATCCAAAGTAAAAAGTTATTTAGTTAGAAAATAAAAATCAGATGAGGGTATAGGAGGGAGGCATCTGGAATGATATATAGCATTACGTAGTTCTTGTGAAAAAGGTCCTGTGATTGTAGTTGGATGCAAACAGAAAATAAGCAAGCAGCATGACATAGCTGGGAACAGCAGAAGTATAATTTCCAAATCATGGCAGTATCTCTATTCAGAATCTACATGAAGTACTGCATCCAATTCCAGGAATTTAAGAAAGTTCAGAGAAATAACAGGTACATACAAAAGCATTGGGAATAAAAGATATTATTAGGAGTATTCAACCTCAAGAAAGATGCTGAGGGAGGATCGCCACCTTATTTTCTCTCATTCCAGATTGTAAAATGCAAATCATGGTCAAGTTATCAGAAAGATATGTTGCGATAAATAAGAACTATTCTTCCTAACAGTAAGAGCATTCTGTGTCACAAACACAGACCAAGAAAGGCACTGGACTCATCTTTGTTAGATGAGTTAAAGAAGAGGCAAGCAATCTCTTAAGGATGCTTTCATTTTGTTGTGGCCTGCCAGTGGCCAGCAGAGCTGGCAGCAGATTCCAACAGTGAGAAGGTTGGGGAGGAACATGAGCCAGTTCTGGTGTCTGGGGAAGGCTCTGATGAGGTCTCTGTGTCAGAAGCAGAGACGGGGTCAGAGCCGTATGCCAGTTATCAGCTGCCTTCAGAGTCAGAAATCAGTGAGGCAGACGAACAGAGGGAGACTGTTCCCAGTGTGTGCATACGCACTGTTGCCAGACAACGGGAACAACTAAAGAACAGGAGTTGACTTGGAAGTAAGGCCACAGATGAACGATGAATGGCCTCTCCCAGAGGAAATAAAAAAGGAGTGAAAGGGGAGTGGAGTTTGCAGGAGACAATTAGTTCACTTAATTGGTTCGTGACTCTCCAAGACTACTTGCCAAGTTTTGCAGATATTGGCCTATCAGCTTTCCAAGTCAGCTAAGGTCTATGACTGTAAATCCTCCCTTGAAAGACTTTGCTGGATGTGAATGAGCAAAATTCACAGTAAATTAATAAAAGGCATTTTTGTCAGGACAAGGACTTTACTT